ACGGTCACATCTATCATAGCCAAAGCATTTGTCACGTGAGGGACAACGTGATTTCATTTTCCTGTCGCCATAAAGGTGACACATTGCATTCGTATTGCCTTGGTCCATTATTTTGTTTTGTATTAGTATTAGAATATTTGTACATGTGTGTGTCTCGGGTAAATGATATGCCATCAGACTTTGGAGGAAGGAGCATCTCTCTCTTGTTGAAGGAAACATCCATCTAAGGCCGATCATCAGGGCGCATGCTTAATAAATACTGAATAGCATCTCCGACCAACAACAACCAACAAGAACGAGGAAAAGCACTTGCAATTTATTCAACGCTTTGGTTGGGTGAACGAAAAGCGGTTGGGCTGGCTGGTTGGTTGGTGTTCTATTGATTTTCATGGGTTGTGCAAGTACAAGCCGGATAACATGTTGTTAAACCACAGCAGCGCGAGCAAACAAATTACCCACAGCAGTTGGCCAAAAATTGTTCAACATAACTTCAGATTTTATGGCCCACATGTGTGTGAGTTTGGTGGAAGTGCTGGAGATATGTGTATGGGATATTCAGTGGGATGTCCAGGCGGGCAGACAGCTGGCAGTCAAGCAGGAGGGAAGGTAGAAGGGTGCACACAGTTTACTATCAATTCTGTGCTCGTGTTCTATGTGGCTGTGAAATTAGCGCTTCGCTCCGGCAGCTCCTTTTGTTCTCCTTTCGAAAACCTGGCTAGCAACGACTTGGGTTTCGACCAACGTCTATAGACCTTCGACTTTCGCCTCTCACCGTCGCCGTCGCCGTCGCCTTCTCCCTGCGTCTTTTGCGGCTTGGCCAAGTTTCATGTCAAAAGTGCACTCCATGAATATTTCACTTGCAATCACATTGTTTTCCCGCTAACTTTGTAGATTGTTTTAACATGTGGCGGAATTGGGCGTGGCGTTAGGTGGTTTACGAAAGAAAGGACGAGGTGGCAGCGTCCTAGAGGGAGTGGCACGTGACGTAACGGAACAACAGCAGCAGCAGCAGCAGCAGGAGCAGGAGCAGGAGCAGTATCAAACTTTGGTTTTCACTCAATTTTGGCAATGCTTGCCACAACCCACTAGCCTTCTCCTCCCCGCTCTTTCCACACTTCGTTTCGCCCGTAAAACAGTTGGAAAATTGTGCATGTGTGTGTGTGCTCATGTTGAGGTAATCCCTGATTCCCATGCGCTAAATTTGGTAGTTCAACTCGGTTCAGTTCAGTTCCCTATCGCCTGTTTGCCCTTTGTGCAGCGTACAGTTTAATACTGCACGGAATATGGGTATTTCACTCCTCCATCCTATAGAATTGGGACTTTGAGTCTGTCCTGGCCGATATATGGGAGATTTATGCAGCCAAGATAGACAGAAAGACACACAGACAGACAAATGGATGGATGGATGGATAGATGGATGGATGGAGGAAGAGAGAGGAATAGTGGTAGAAATGGAGAGCCGACATTCTCGGCCACTTTAGGATAAGTAGCCGCTCAAAAGATATTACGTGTTTGCTCTTGGCAACTGGCAGGAAATGCACTTGCTCTTTTCCGCCTCATCTCCCGCTGTGTTTTCCCCAGGATAGCCGCATGAGTTGCCTTTTGCCAAAGCGCCCTGGATTTAAGTTTGCTCCAGCTTTCAGTCACTTTTCGCAACTCCACGCGGCGTTTAATGAATTTTCATTTTTTTTTTTGCCCAGTTTCCACTTTGTCGCTGTTCCTGTTTCTGTTTCTGTTACTTCTGCCTGTTCCCTGGATGCCTCCAGGTGGTGTGGAGGCAAATGCTCAACAAGCTGCTGCCGACGCCGCCGTTTCATTTGTCGCTCCATGTTTTGCAGCTCCCTCTCCCGCAAGCCACACGGGACGCGCGGGCAGGTGTTTCGCCCAGCACTCGAAATTACAACAGCTTCGGCACCAGCGGTGGTAGTGGCAGCGGCAGCGGCAGCGACTGCCAGAACTTGCAACTATTTTTATATTTTATGCACTTTGCGTGCTACCAAAAATGTTCTTGGCAGTTTTTCGTTGCTTTGCTTTTTTTGATTCGGGCGGCCAGCATTTGCCTTTCCCCAGGAGTGGGCGTCACTGAAGGTCATTGGGCGGTGGATTGGACCTGCAACAGAACCAAATAAAAACTTGTTTGATAATTTTCTACTCAAATTGAATACTTGCAACTGTATATGTTCTGCAAACTTTTCTTATTCTCTGCGAATAACTTTAATGGAAAAACTTTGAATATCAAACCGCAAAAACAAAAAATATCCACTACTTCGAGAGAATGGAAAAGAAGGGTGGAAAAATAGAGCCCACAGCGTAGAGCAGAGCAGACCCCTCCTCCACCCACAATGGACACTAAAATTGGAAAATTGAAATTGAATTGTATACCGAGGGGCATGGGGAGAGGGGAAGAACTGACCAGACGGAAAAAACGAAAGAGAGAGAGAGAGATTCCAATTCCAACTTTCAACTGGGCCTCGGTTCAATGAATGCATATTTACCCCTGGGAACCCCATGAGTTGGATGGAGGTCCAATCAAATAAATATGCAGGAATATGTACATACATATATGTATGTGTACATATGTGCCGCCATGCGGCACGCTCAAATTAGTGCCAGAAATAGAGATGATTCTGCTATCAACCACACAGACACATTGCCACATATCAGTGCCCAAGTGGCACAAAGTCATTTAGTTTATTAGCACTCGAATGGCGAATCCTGGATTCCTGAATCCCCCAGGCAATTGTCTGCCTGCCGGAAACCCTTTGCAGAAACTTCAAAAGAAAGTGTCAAGCCGAACGAACGTCGCCACAGTGAAGAAATAGCTCTGTTCGACTGGCATTATTTCGTTATTATCCGCATCAAGGAGTCGATTGACAGGAGCACAGGCACGTGCTCCCCCGCCTTTATCCGGCTTACGAAAACATTGTCACAGGAAAGGAGCCCCAGCACAGAGAGAGCCAAGCCACTATTCAACAGAAATTATATTTACAAGCCAGCAGGAGCAGCAGCAACAACAACAGCTCCGACGCACAGAAGGCAGACGCAAAAGCCAGTGAAAACAAAACACAAATAGGAAGAGAGTCCGTCCCGTCCCGTACCGACAAAAAAGGAAACCGGAAAAAAGCAGCAAGCAGAAAAAAATCAAATAAAATGCCAGAAACATGGCATTGAGGGAGGGTCCACCTCCAAGTCCAAGTCCAAGTCCATGTCCTGGACCTGCCAGGTTCTGTCTTGCTTCCTGTCAGCCTCCCACTTTTGTGGCTCCGTTTTGGCCAAGTGCGTGCTGGCGCTGGTTGACTTTTGGCTTTACCTACTTTCGCCTCTCTGCCCCTGCACGAATGTTTCCACAGCAGATAAATACAACATTTGACACTTCATTATTGTGCCCGCAGCGTAATCGAATCAATTCAATTCCAGGACCTCGGCCTCGCCACGTCACCCGGGCCTTGTCATGGTGTCAAAAGTGCTTGGCCGGTCCTTGTGATGCTCCTCTGGCGACTCTACCGCTGCCTGTCCGCATCCTGTGACCCATTGTTCATCGTTTGGCAGAGCCCTACGAGCTCCAGGGCTCAAGGCAGCTTGCCCTGTTGACACATTCGCTTAAACGTATTAAATTGTTTGCCATCGCAGTACTCTCTCTCTCTCTCTCTCTCTGACTCTTTGCCATTGACGTTGGACGTATCTGACGCACAATTTTTCTTGTTTTTTGCTGCTGCTGCTGCTGCTGCCACTAGCTCCTTGATGGCCCCACTGTTTGCTCATAGCGGAAGTGTGTCCCGTGTAGTCGTAGCTCGTAATCGTATCTCTCTGTCTCCAGAGCTGTATCCACATTCTGCTTTGTCACACGAAAAACAGAAACAAGAAGAAAAAAAAGCGTAATCGATTACCTTGTAACCGGATATGAGCGTATCCGTTGGCATCTGCAAGTCGCTTTGCCCCCAAAAGTCCGAGAAATGTTGGCTGGGGCAGTGTTTAATTGAGTTTAATTGAGACCGGCCGCAATGCCTGGCTATTTATGCAATAATCAATGTTTAATTACAAAACCAAATAAATACACGAATACTAATGCTGGACGCCCACGCCCACGCTCGGGCTCAGACTAGGGCGCGGGCACGGACACGGGCACTGGCGAGAGACCTTTGAAGTGGTCGCCATGGGGATGCATTAATTATGCATGACACACGACATTCATGATACGCAAATGTGTGACGAAGAGTCTCTTAGATAGGGAAAAGAGTGGAGCGAGAGAGGCGAGATTGGGGCGTGGGGAAGCGAGTGAGTGGCTGTGTGAACAATTGAATTAATGTCGGTGCTCAGTAGAGCAGCGGCCCAAAAGTATGCTTTAATATTTAAGTGCATTTTAACACTTTGAACCAACACACACACACACACACACACACACACAGAGGATGCATAAACACTCACACACAGAGAGATAAAATCTCTTAGGGAATTAACTGAAGTCTCTTTGGTCCACACACAAGAAGAGAGGACAAGAGTTGCCATGAGATTGACATATAAAATTGATTAGCAAATCAACAGCAAGTGCATTAAATTACTTACCCACTCCCACTCCCCCTATCCCCTATGCCCTACCACTATATCATGGCATTCTCGAATCCCGTTACGGACTCTTGCCACTGCGTAAATTTGACAACTTTCATATGGATGGGCATAATAAAATGCACTTTATGAACTTTCCGACATTTGACAAATATTCTTAAATGCACTAAACCAATTAGAGCGACCAGCACACACACACACACACACACAGACACTCCATGTTCATCCTGATGATGATGATGATGATGATGATGTTGGTATCCTGTGTGTGTGTGTGTGTGCACAAGCTCGTAAAACCCCAGAGTGTTCGTGTGTGTGTGTGTGTGCTTTTGGGACGTGAGTAATAATATTTTGAGTAATTTGTTTTATATATTCCAAACGAAAATACCAAAAATCATTTGATATTAAAATGTTCTCTCTTTTTTTTTATTTTGCAGTGTGTGCCCAGAGCATGATGACAAAGAACGAGCCCATGTTTATATCACGTTCGGAGACCTTCAAATTCATCACCGGCGAGACAATAGTGCTGCCCTGCGAGGTGGCCAATACGGGTAAGTGTCAAAATGATGAAAAATATTGACAGTAAAACATTTTGGGGGACTGAAATTCTATTTCGACCACGCAGTTTGCATTTAAATTTTTGCGGTCGGGTGATTGCTAAGCATATACATAATTAAGCCAGCATTATACGATGGCCAGGCTGCCCACAAATATGCATTAATCCCATGGCTGGGGACTGGTCTCGAGTCCAGGTTCATTTCGACCACAAAAAACAGAATGGATTTTGGTATACACCAGCAGCAGAGAGAGTGTGGCAAAGAGGGAAGAGAACGGGTCACAGTCGCCCACTGACGAGTGTCCGATCCAAGACATGTGTGTAGTGGTTATGGCGTTTTTGTTGCGGTCTTTCGCTTCACTCAAGTCGGTCCGGTCCGGTTCTGTCCGGCATTTCCAGTGGGTGGAAGTGGCAGTGGCCATGCACGTTTTTCAATTTAAATGCGGTCGTGTATGCGAGATTATTTGTACATAACCAGGATTTAGCATAAGCAACAGCCGCCTTTCGAGCAGGCTAAAAGACGGAGCAGAATGGAGCGAAGATATAAGAGGAAATAAAATATAAGAAGAGGAGAGAGCAAGCAGGCAGCGCAGGCCGTGAAGATGGTCAGAACAAAATGCTACATAAAAACTTGGACCCAAACACTTGGAGCACATTTTATGTACGAGTATTGTGCGGATATGTGGTGTGTGTGTGTATCTCGCAGATGTACATATGTGCCCGAGTGTAGTGGGATGTGGGAAGGGCGATGGCTGTGGTCGAAGCATTCCTCTTATAAGAAAAAGAAATACAGAACAAAGAATTTCATTTGCGTCTCTCATGCACTTCATTGCCTCTGACAACGGCGACGGGGAGGACAAGGACGAGGAGGTTCAGAAACAAGTAGAGGACCAGTGCCAGCTCAGAACCAAGATGAAGACGAAGCAGACACTGAAGATGCGATACATAGACAATTTTCTGCAACAAAATTATAGCTGCGGGCATTTGGGTACTAATAATACAAAAAAAAACACACACACAGAGAGCAGAGAAAAGAAAAAGAAAGTACAGAATGAAGCACAAGAAAGTAAATATAAAAAGAAAGCGCTAGGAATGGGGGAAATAAATTGCCTGGGCGTTGGTTTACTCTGGCATTGGGAATGGGGCGTGGAAGTCGCCCCAGTTTGTCCCCGACTAATGCCGCATTATGCTAATAAAGTGCCCATACGACAATTTCATTACAGACATCTCACAGAGAGAACACAGACAGAGAGAGAGAGAGAGAGCAGAGAATGAGAATGAGAGAGAAACCAAGTCCCGAGGCAACTCGTGGCTTAAACGTAATAATTAAAAAGTGAAGCCGCAGCGCGATTTTATATTTTTTAATAACGCATGCTTTATGGAGGAGATCCCCCGATCCCCCGATCCCCCTTCAAATATGATTAGCTTTTGAAAACGATTGCCAGAGCAAGAGCAGAGCAGGTGCAAGATGCTCATCGTGTCCCCTTTTTATGGTCGTGGCCCATAAAGTGTAAAAAATAATTGATAGAATTTTTAAAACCACACTAAAACCGAGTACTCCAACAGTACAATTTATGCTCATTTTCATTTCGTTTTATGGATGCAAGAAACTCATAAAAATTCGAAAGTAATGAACAAAAATCACACAAAGGATGCGTGAGTGCGTGCGTGTGTCTGTCGGCATTTAAATATTATATGGAAATTTCTTTAAACACTTTTTACCGAGTTGTGCGCTGCTAAGGAGTAATCTTTTGACTCGATTGTGTCTGCTGCTGCTGCTGCTGCTGAGGCAATCAGACAGACACTCAGACAGAGCTATAGTCATCGTCTCTCTGGCTCCCTCACTCTCTCGGTCTCTGGATAAACAGTGAAACATTTCATCATTATCATTTCATTTCATTTCATTTGAATTTTTATTTGTTCTTCAATGTCTGTCGCGCAAGTTTCTTGTATATTTTTCTGTTTGTTTTTGCTTCTGCTCTACTCTCCTGATGGCTCCACTGCCACTCGTCCTCATACTCCTCTACTGCCATGTCTTTTCCATTTACCGCTTTTTCTTATCCATCGCCTGGGGTTGTGCAACAACAGAGTAGTCGCACTTGGCCAAACAAACTTCAATCGACAGAGATACCCTGACAAATGAAAAATGGGTACATAAACTGCCATATTCAGTGGCTCAAAGTTTCGAGTGAGTGAAAGCAATTATGGAAAATCTTCCACTACAACTATGATTTTCCAATGTCGTAAGCTGCAAATGTTGCGTAAGGGAAATCACTAACAAGCTTGATAAGTACTCCCAGAGTCTTATGTAAAAGCATAATTGCATCTCCATAGATCAGCCCACAGACACTTTGCTGCCTGGCCTTAATGTGCAATGTGGCTTATGTTTTTAGGCCAAAGAAAGCACAAACACAACGACGACATGTCTGTCACTTCTTTTGCCCTCGATTAGTCTCTGTTTCGTTTGCTTAGGAAACTTTCCAGCTAATCCTTCGCAAATCAGTTTGTTGTTTTCTGCTTTTTGTGGCAAGTAAATATTATTATATAATTTATGCTGTAGTGTTTGTAAAGTTCGTAAAATATTCATGAGCTGCCACTGGCCTTGGCTGTTGTTTGGTTCACTTACTTTTCCACTCCAGGGGTCGATAAATTCGTTCGATTCGATTCGAGTTCATAATATTTACATTGCAAATCCACGTTGATGCTTTTTTTAATTGCTGCTGCTCGTTTTAAGCTCTTCTAAATCGGCTAATTAATTGCTCAGGCCATTTTGGCCACTGCTCAACTTGTCTGCATGCAAAGCCTTTTATGCTGCCGAGTGTCGTGTGAATTTTTCATTGCGGTTACTGCGGCAGAAGCCGGAGTACAGTTGTACAGTTGCACAGTAGTGGCCAATGTGGCAGCAAAAACATTTAACAACTATGGCTACTGCCACGACCAACTGGCATGGCAGTTAGTGCTGTTGCCGTAACTGTAAACTCGACTGCAATAAAATTCAAAACACAGAAACCCCGTCATTGCGGCCATACAAACGCTCATTACGCTTTGATGGAGCTTTGTCGGCGCTGCGCTACGGTCCGCTCCGCTCCGCTCCGCTTCGGAACTATTGCCCAGAAAACGGAAATGGAATCGTACCGCAAAAGTTGAAGTTGTGCAAACAGCAGAACGTGGACCTCCAAGTACTCCACATTACGGATGGATTGGATAAAGAAGAAGTGGCCAGGGGGTAGCAGCAGGGGCAGGGGCAGGGGCAGGGGCAACAGGAGGCAACAAAGTTTCAATATTAATGCCATTTACAGTTCTAATTTCGCTTTTTACGTCTATGCAACATACACACGGATACAGACACGCACACGCTACACTTAACACATTCGCACACACACACACAAACACTCTCAAAGTTCCACAAGAAGTTGCAGATAAGTCTCTGCCTCTGCCTCTGTACACCGCACCTCTCCGCTCTGGTTTACTCTGCGGCGGCTAAGCCGCAACATCGTTTATCTTCGGGGGTCATCATCTTATAATATTGGCCTTTCCGACATGCAATAAATTGCGCTCAGACAAACAACATGTCCGTTGGTCGGCCTCTGGTCTCTGGTCCGTTGTGGAAGCTACTACTACACTGCAAGAAAACATGGCTTACGGCCGGTCCAAGCTGCTCCAAGCTGGACAGAGCGGGTCAAAAGCTGGCCCGTAAGCAGACCATTATACCCATATTGCGCATACGCACAGTATGCCCAAAGCAAACAGACAAAAGTGCTGCAACAATGCGAACATTGGCCATATTTGAATCGGTTATACAAGTGTGCTTCTGTGTGTGTGTGTGTTTGCATGGTATACATGTAGATGTGTGTGTGTGCCTGTCACTGGGTGAAGTGTAGAAAACTAAAAGTTGGCTTTCGGGCTGTAAACAATGAACAAGCGCTCTCCCTCTCACTCACTCACTCTCTCCTGCTGTAGCAGGACGTGCGGTCGGCCATTTGTCCAGGACGGAGGCCTGTGTTTATGTGGAACTCCATGTTCATGAGCCCGAAATGCTTTTACCGAGTTTCCGCCCCATGCCAGACCTCATCCTCCACGCCACTATTTCTATAACCCAGACCCCAGACCGAGACCAAGGACCAGGACCAGTGCCAGGACCCATCTTCATTCTGATTTCCATGCTCGGCTTCTCGCTCGCTTAACGGCGCAATTGTTTGCATGTATTGTTGTCGTAATGCTTCAGCTCCCACTCCCTGCCTTCCCCTACTGCTCCTCCCTCTATCGCTGTGGCTGTGTGTATCTGTGTGTGTGTGGGCTTCTATTTAGTTTAGAACACTTAAACCGGAAATTGAGGCGTTTCGCTTTTTGCTTGTTTTCGTTAGATTGTTGTTATTTTAGTTAACAATTTATTTAGTTGCAGTGCCTCTCTGCCGTAATGCTCAAGCAGGAGCAGGAGCAGGAGCAGTGCCACACATGAACCGGACTCGTAATTTATGTGGTCTTGCCACCGCCCCCATGGTTCTGCTGCTGCTGCTGCTGCTACTGCAACATCTTGTCCATTCAAGAACACGAGCCCAGTGTGCTGCTCCGCAGTATTATTAATTTCCTGCCCAGACGGGGACACAGACACGAGCACGGACACAGCCAGAGCCACAGACTTCATCTCCGATTTCGTTGTTTGACTTTTTCACATCCTTTTTGGCTTTGCAAGCGATTTCGACAAAATCATTCTTCCTGGCATTCTGAATGTCATTCATGGACAATGGCAAAAGGTATTTTGGGCTGAAAATTCCATGAAACAAAAGGCAACCAATTAGGCCGAACACTGGAAGGATTAACCAATTTTCCAATTGCCATCTTCCCATTGAAAGCAAACAAGTAATTGACAGGCTCTAATAATACTTGCAAACCAGAACGAACGAAAACCTTTCTTCAATTTGCATATCTTTGGCAGAGCAGCAGCCCCGGCCCCGGCAACTGCCCCGGCACTATAACACTACGATGCCAAACACCAACGATGTTCCTTCATTCATAACTCAATCAAGCGGCTAATATGATATGACTGCACTTTGCTGGCAGCACGTACATGCATGCATGCTAGCCCCCCTCCCTGCCTAATGCCCGGGGCAGGATGCATGCAAAGGGTTCCCTGGTGTTGAGCCCACAACTCAATGCCCGCACACACCTCGTCCTCCATCCCGTCCCGTGCCGTGCCAAGTGTGCCACAAGAATTATATTTTTCCTACGTTGCACAGTCTCTGGGACAACTGCTATACGACTCTACTCTACCACCGACTCGACTATGCCACACACGCTAACGACAGCAGGTGGTGCTCGTATATTTATTTGTTTTTGCAGTGCACTGCGCCTGCATTGCCTTTCTCCTGTACCCAGTACCTGTGCCTCTTCCTGTGGCACAACCTGTGCCGCCTCGTTCTTGGCTTGGCTTGTTGATGTTGTTGAACTCATTGCAAATAAATACGCTTTTTGAATGCGCATGTAAATGACTTCATAAGCATTTTATTACAGCCAAGGCGAGGCGAGGAAGCTCTGTTCCATCCTGCCTTCTACTCTGAGTACATTCGCATCTGTGTGTGAGTGTATGCGTGTGTGTGTGGGTGTGTGTGTACATGCGTTTCGTGGTGAAATCAATTTAAGCAGAGGGGACACAGACACGGACATGGCTACATGCCACATAATTTTCCTTTACTCTTGATTTTTGGGGCTTCGGAAAAATTGTTTTAATTTTTAATGAACGCCTCTCGCTCGTTGGCGGCGAAACACGGAAGTCATACATCATTAGTAGCAAAATCCGGCTGCTTCAGTACACAGCCAATACACTTTCCAATACACTGACTCCCCCCACAGCTGCTGCCACCCCAACAGCCCTGCTGCGGGCGGCTCTTCCTGCTGCCTAACCATTTCCCTATTCCGTGCTCAATCGCGTTGCACGCGCGCGGAAATTTACATCGAGCAACTCACATAAATTGAAAAAGGAATCACAATTAATGAGTTCGATGAATACGCCATTGCCATTGGGTCTGGTGGTGCTGGGCTCTTGTATGTGTACGTGTGGCTGCCACACACTCTTTGGAGCTCTTTCTGTGGGTTTGTGTGTTGCTGTCTGTCTGTCTGTCTCCATGTCTGGCTGGCATCCTTCCTCCTGCGTGCCTCACAGTGGCAGCTTGCCCGCACTGCTGAAAGCATCCGAGTGTCTGTCTGCCTCCCATTCTGGCATATGATTGCAAATGCCGCACATTAGCGGATATCAAGTGGGTGTTACTGAGTGCCTGTCTGACTCTCGCTCTCCCACTCTCTCTACTCTCTCTCCCATCCAGCCACAGCCGTTGTTCATGCCGCCTGTCTGCGGTTTATGCCTCCAATTCTGAGTGTCTCTATGTGTATGTGTGTTTCGGGTCCATGCCAAATTGAATTTCTAGCCTTTTTAGATCCTTTGAAAAGTCCTGTAATTGAGTCATTTGAATTCTGACTTTTCAATTTGCGTTGCCAGTGCCACTGCCACTGCCAGTGCCCGTGCCACTGCATTGGTGTATGCCACTCAATCTGCCATGCAATTTAATAACTCTCAAACATAATTTATTAATCAATTATAATTTCATCTCTCTCTCCCTCTTTCTCTCTGATTGCAGACACCTATGTTGTGGCCTGGAAGCGGGGCATTGCCATATTAACTGCTGGTTCCGTGAAAGTGACGCCCGATCCACGCGTGCGCCTGGTCAATGGCTTCAATCTGCAGATACGCGAGGCCCTGCCAACGGATGCCGGCGATTATATTTGCCAAATTGCCACGATGGATCCACGGGAAATCACACACACTGTCGAGATATTGGGTAAGTAGGCCACAACCCCGAACTGACTGACTTTTCGACATCGTGGCATTGTTATGCAAAGTTTCCACCGCCATCACGTGCCCCTGCCCCCCCACTCGCAACAGCAGTATCCATCCCAGAATGGAGATTGACGTTCCATGGGATTTTTATGGGGCGGTAGAAATTTATGCAGCCTCCTCAAATCACTCGGGCCCCATTGTTTGGGCAGATCTATGTACCTCTCGCTCTTGCCACTGATGGTGATGCTGCTACTGATGCTGTGTGTTGGTCAAATTAACATATCCTTAGATCCTTAGATCCTTGGTGCTTAATGCTTTATGCGTCCGGGTCCACTCAAATATGCAAAGTAGATTCGCTGCAATTTGGCCGCTTTACGGCCACAGATTCAATAGAGAGACGAGCGTTGAAAAAAATCAAAACTAATCTGCCATTTGGCCCCAGAATTGTGGCTCATCTTTGGTTTCGAAACCCAGCTGCAGGCCTGCTGCCTGCTGCCCTCTGCCTAAGCCTTAGATGGAGATGTACAACGGATGCAAATTGCTGTTCCTTTCCAGCTCCCAGCAGTCCTGCGCCCAAACTACTTCCTGTCGGGACGCTACGGGACGGGGACGGGACCCATTGTGCCTAACAAGCGTGCGACTTCGGCTCCGCTTCAGCATTTGCCATCGGTTTCGGCTGAGAGCTTTGTTTCCCTGCTCCTACTTTTCCTTTACTCGCTGCTGCCGCTGCCGCTGCCGCTGCTGCTGCTGCTCCTCCATCTCCTTTTTATCCTTGTGGCATGCGTCTTCGCTGGGCTTCTAATCAGCAATGATGAATAATTTACATATATTTCCCCCCCAATTACAATGTTGCCCTTTATTTGCATACCCTTGTGTGTGTGTCTCTGTGTGTGTCTGTGTGTCAGTATCTATGTATGTGTGTTTGTGTGTGACTGCCACGCCTTCTGCATTGCTAACACTTGCCTTTTAACTCTCTTTTCTTGTGCTTTCCGTTTCTCTGTGTGCGGCGCATGCAAATTGCGATACAATTCCCCAAATCTCCGAAGTGCGCTGAAGCCCATCTCCATCTCCATCTCCATCTTTGTCTCCATGGACGCTCTTCTGTCTGTGCCTCTCCCCTTCCTTTCTCAACTCTATCCTCCACGTCTCTTAACTCTGTCTCCCCTTTCTCTGGAATGAAACTTCCCCTTTCATCCATCTTGCATCTCCTTTTTCGCTCAGGTCACTCCGCCATTTCTTGTACTTTTCTCTTCCATTGAGAGCCATAAAATGATTGAGAAATAGTTGTATTTGCGGAATTTCAAGCGGCCTTTAAGCCGATACAAATACATGGATTTTTTTGTTTAAGCATTACTCGGGAGGGAGCCTATAAAAAATGCGTATTTATTTTAGCAGCGGCAACTTTTTTCATTTGTCATTGAAACTTGGTCCTGGCTTGTGGTCCTGCCACAGCTCCCACATCCTCCTCGCAGGGGCGTCGGAGTTGCCGCAAGCAAACATTAAACGAAGTCTCGTCTGAACAGAATGGGGTTCGGGGGTACTCTTGTGGTGCTTCCGGGGCAGCAACAGCAGCCACGGACAAAGAGTACCAAAAAAAAGTCGATTATTGAAAAGTTTTGTTTATTTTATGTGTTTATTATGCGCTCCGTTTGCCAAATAATGATCATGGCCAGAAATATTTCGTTTATTGAACTTTTGCAGCGCACGTAAATTTCTCGCTCAGTTTTTTTCTCCCTCCCTGCCCGAAACCCCAACCATGGAACCCATCTCCATTATTGTCAAAGGAGAAACAAGCAAAAATAATGCGCTGTCGAAGTTTTTATAGGCTCGACAGCAGACAACCAACCAACCATACAACCATCCAACCATCCAACCAACAAACAACAAGCAATCCTCACTGCTGTCCGAGGAGCAACAACAAAAAAAGTGTGATCCCAATCCCGAATCCATGTGGCACGGGACTCCACTTCCACTCCGTATATAAATTTCATAAAGTTTGCCGCTCTCTGGCATATCGGCCTGGCAGTTTTTACGAGCGTAAATTACTTTCAGTTTGGCTCACACTAAAGATGAAAAAATAATGTGCGCTCTTGCCAAAGTTTCGCACTTGGCCAGCGACGTCGCACTTACAAAGACATTAGCCCCGGCGATGGCCAAAAAATGGACCAACTGAATCCAGTCGATCCATGGCGACGAAGCCAGAGCAAAGTCTCAGTCGCAGCCTCTGCCCGAAGGCCTGGCCAAGCAATGGCCAAAACTTTGACCGTTGACAAATCTTTTAATATGGCCCAAACATTAATATCTGTGCTTTGTGCTCTGTGCTCTCTGCTTTCTGCTTTGTCTCCACTCTCTCTCTCTCTCCTGGCGCCAACATAATTACAGACGAGCCACATGCCTGGCTCTCACCTAACACCCAACCGCTGCAGCTTCAATATTTGATGTGTCCGTGGATGCTGCTGTCAAGGTTGTCCTGCTCATCCTTGCTCTAGTCCTCTGTGCCCTGACTGCTCGGCCGACACTGTTGGCCCAGTGTCAATAGAGGGCAGTATTACCGTGTCAAGGACTGTTGACACAAGTTTAAGCTTAAACTTTTGCTTAAAAGCATTTTTATTAATTCAACCAGCGTCAAGTGTGGCAGCTGTAACTGCTGAATTATTCATATGACGTTTAATAAAACCAATTAAGCCTTCGACACCGCCCACATGCACATCCACAATTCAGAATCCACAATCCGTCCATTAGCCAGTGGGCAGTTTGTGTCTGTTGCCACTCAGTAGGGCAGCGAATCGATGTGTTGTGGTTCGACTTGGTTTGGGCCATGTGGCTCGCCCAAATCCAACCGCAAAACATTATGTTATGCGGTGGCAGTCGCGGTCAGCCATTGCGGCAATTTTCACATTTTTATCAGAGCCATAGCCATCAGGCATCCAGCCATCAGGAATCAGCCATCTGATACATGGATTTTTAAATGCATTCTGTGCGTGACTTTAATTCGTATTGTGTTGTGTTGTGGGATGCATGGAGGTGTGGCTTTGAGTGCTTCCACAATTACAATTAGCCTGCACTCGAATAGGATTTCTCGATAGTTCAAATGCCAACGAATGTGGCAATTAGGAAGTTAATTACAGGACACCGCAAAAGTCCAAGGCAGGAGTGGACTGTTTCTCATCCACTTAAAGTATCGATGACAATGCATGCATTAAACCGGAAGCCATAATTATTCCATTGACTATCATGTCGTGTCGTGTTGTGTTGTGTTGTGTGGTGTGTGGCATAGAAAATGAAGCCTCATTTCTGTGATTTATATGCACAATATGCCAAAACAACTGTTCACGGACACCCAGGCGGACACGGATACGGAGACGGATGTGGCTACATCGGAGACAGAGGCAGGGCACAATTGGTGGCAGTGGCAGGTGCTGAGGGGGCAGGGGACAGGGGACAGGGGACAGCCTTTAATTATGGGCAGCTGGCCAACACAAGTTCCATTCTGCACCAGCACAATGGGTGGAACAACAATGTTTGTACACTAACAAAAGATGCTGCTGCAGAGTGAGCAGAGTGAGCAGAGTGAGCAGAGCAGTGAGGCAGAAGGTAGAGGTGTGCCATAATTATATGCCACAAGAGGGATAAACAAATGCCACAGACACACACATGAAACTCTCAATGCAGACACGCATGCTGGCAAAAGTTTCTTTGGATACTTGAGACAAATTACCAACACACTGCAAAACCAAAGGGGAACTTGCACCATCTGAACATGCAGCAGGGAAAGCAAAAGGTGGCACGGCAGAGACGGAAAGGGAGGCAAGTCTTAGCCAAGTGAACCCACAATTAAATGCCAAGCTCTTGGATCCGTTTAAGTTCTCTGGCAATAAACTTTATCGCCCTGCAACAGAATATGGATTTAAATTGCTCAGCAGACTCCAGGCTGCAGACTACACAGGCTCGAGGACCACTTAAAGTTTTCCCAGCTCAAGATTCAAGTGTGTGAGTGGGTGGGTGGTGTCTGTGTGCAACTTTGAATACCACAAAACCATGGCCAGAAGTTGAGAGCCGCAGCCGGGCAGGCCAGCAGCCTAGCAGCCTAGCAGCCATTACAGCCCACCCACACACATACTTATACTTACATATAACGAAATCAATATGAAACAAACTCTGTCAAAACTGGCCGCAACCAACATTGGAGTTGCCTCAGCATCGGCATCGACCTCTGCTGCTGCTTCTGGCTGGTCCTGGCTCTGTTGCGGCTACTGCGGCAAATGCTTTGAAAGAGCTGCTTATTAAAATTTTTGCCAGCTGCCCGCAAACTACCAGCACCGCCACCGCCGCCACCACCGCTGCCACCACCACCGCCACTCGACAGAGCTGTCTAAAGATTGAGACCCATTAAGCAGTCGTCATCTGCATGACATTACATGCCGCAATCCCACGTATACATGCCTGCCAGTAGTCAATCCAAATCAATTCCACTCCCTGCCATTGAGTGCTCGTATTAAAAGAGCTTTCGGCACACACTCTCCCATTCCATTCGCATGTAGATGGAGATGGGTATATTTATTGAATTCAATATGCGATTCACTGGCGAGGATAAAGTCCCACCAAAGCGTGAAATTATTGAAAATACGGAGTATACATATTCCACAAAACATTCACACACATATCCACAGAGACAGAGGGAAACATATAGATAGAGAGCTAGGGGCACTAAGCTGCTCTGTGGCAATGCCACACACAAGCACAGGGAGGAGCTGCCAGTGTACTATCTGACATCGCCGAGTGTCCTTCCCTGGCTGCGCCTTTTGCCAGCCTCATGATTTATTATAGTCTAATGCATATTTTGTGGCTGCAACACACGAGTGTATGGTAGATACGGGTATGCTGCTGCCTGCTTCTTGCTGCCTGCTGCCCTTGTGGTGGCTGCCTCAGTGATCAATTGTAATTTTCTTTCGAATGCAAATATTCTCCACAGAGCTCGAAGCTCGGAGCACCGAGTCTTGGCTTGCGTTGCCTTGCCTTATTTGTTTTTGCCAGAGCAATCGAATATATTATTTTATATATTGGAAATCGTATGTGATTCGAAAGAATTGCATCAATAACACATGTTTGCCGGTCCACTGTCGGGGTCCGAATTGATTGCAACGGGTGTGAGTCGGCCACGATACAAGTGTGTCTACATATGTCATAATTTGATGATAACCCAATCAGATAAATATGCAATCTGCTGCAGCTGGACACCCCTTCATAGCACGTCCCTTCCACTGCAACAGAGGCTATCAATGATTCCAGTTGGACCCTAATTTGTTATGTATATCAAATGCATTTCTGTGTGGATTTCGCTTTACTGAGCTGTCGATGATACTCGGAGACCACATTTTGAATGGCAATATTTGACAGGCAAACTTCATTGCAAATAAGTTAAATGTTACAGTGGACATGTCGACTATTTCTTGCTTCGTTTCCCTGCAAATGAATATCTCAATAATTATATATTAAAGTATCGGCAGGGTCGTCCCTCAATTTATGTGCACCCCAAAAGAACAAAGGACCCAAGAGCTTTAACAAAATAAAACAAAGAGAAGGCAGCGAAAGTAGAGAAAGCGAAATTACGAGACAAATAAGCGCAAATTCACGAAAAACTCAAAGCAAACAATGCCAAAAGTGGAAACAGAAACAGCAACAGCAACAGAAGCAACAAACTTTCCCTCTTTTTTTTAGTGGCCCCCAAAATATAATAATGCATAAGAAATGTTAATAAAATAGAATGAAGCCATCGACTGTGGCGACCATTGGCATTGTCCTTGATTTGTTGTTGGTGCTGTCCGGCGGCCCACAGCAGACATAATTTTTAACAGCTGTAAAATAATGCCACCGCAAGTATAAACAAATGCCAGTTGAGTCCCGAATTAAATCAAACTGTGCCCCAGCGGATCCATACTGAAGTCCTTAGCCAGGAGACCATCGTCCCGATTCCCTTGTCCAGGGTCCAAGCCAGAGACGCGTAAACGGCGTTTTCTCTCATTCAATTTGCATTCGGGGCGCACTTATTTATTCAAATTGTGTGATGTCCTTGCCGGCCGAAACTTTGCATAACATTTGGATGGACATGGCGACACTGGGACTGGGGGACCCAGGGACCACACCGCGTACCCTCCTGTGAACGTTGCCCCATTTCTAATGTGTTTTTTCTCTCTGTTCTTTCTGTTTATTCGCCCCGACAGTGCCACCGAGGATTCATCACATTAGCACCGGCGGACATTTGCAAGTCAAGAAGGGCTCCTCAGTGCGCATCGAGTGCTCGGCCACTGGTAATCCAATGCCAAATGTGACCTGGAGCCGCAAAAATAATATTTTGCCCAATGGTAAGATTCAGCATAAATACAAATACTCGTACCCATCCAGCGTCCAGCAGACAAAAGGATCCAGCGACAGAAAGGCCACTGCCACGCAAATTAAAACCATAAAGAGCAACAAAAGACAACGCCCAGGAAATGGGAGAGAGCAAAAGTAAATGAATATTGTCGTAAAAGAAACTTTAAACAATTTCCATAAAAATGAAAAGTCAAAGAAATTATACGACGAGTGCTGGCCCTTTCCCTTTTGCTTTCTCCCTCTTCTGTTTGTGGAGCAGCAGGAGGCGGCCATTCTCGGCCAGGGACTTGAACTCGAACTCGGACGCGTCCTTGTCCAGCGACCGGCTGGGCCGCTCCTTTATTATTAAATATAATGCTCACAGTGTGGGCGTGTGCCCCTATATGCCTCTCTCTGTTGGTGGTTGCGTTGTTTGGCTACTAGTGGGATCGGTGGGGCAGCCAAGAATGTCGGCATCAGGACATCACTGTCACTTGGCCGCACGTTGATTCCCTGTAATTGGCTCTGTCATTTCTTGGTCTCCCCGCAAAACCACCCACAGCCACACGACCTTATTGAGTTGCATTTTTCATGCGGTTTTCATGGTTACATACTTACTCCTTTGCAGGCGAGGAGAAGCTCCACTCGCACGTCCTCTCCATCGAGAACGTGGACCGGCACAAGGGCGGCGTCTACATATGCACGGCGAACAATCGCGTCGGCCAGCCCGCCTCCAGCCAGGTGGTGCTCCATGTTCTATGTAAGTATGCAGCTCCCCAAACCCCACTCACACACTCGTTACACACACACACACACACACAATGGAATGGAAGGGCGAAACAAATTAATTTTTTCACCGTGCTTCGGGGTGCTGCGAGTCTGTGTGTGTGTGTGTGCTCGGAGTGCTCGGAGTTTCGCTGTCAGTTCAATTTATGTCAAAACTGATTTCGATTTCGAACGGGTATTGACTCTCGATGCATGCAATCGCGGCACCCAAGTACACGGTAGGGATCTACTAGGGAAAAGGGCAACAACAGAACTACGGACGTGGCATTCACCGCAGAGCGCGGAGCAGTGCTTTTATTACACTTCCGTGCACACACTTACTCGACATTTATTGGTTGACTCGCACAATTATTGAAATGCCTTACGGGTGGTATCGACCATTCTGACATTTATTAACAATTTATGTGTAATTTGGCGGACTGCGACGGACAGACACTTCCCGGCGAAAGCGGACAGGCATTACATGTGCTAATTACATGGCGCTCCCAACGATTGCTGGCCATTGGGCCATTGATTTTTTCGTTTTGGCCCCGAGACCCATGTTCATTTTATTAACTAATTTCTTAACATTCTTTCTGCTCCACCCACAACCCGATGTACAGATTCGCCAGAAATCGCAGTGGAGCGTCCCGTTGTCTTCTCGGGTGAAGGGCACGAGGCCATGCTGGTCTGCATCGTCCATGGCGAAACACAGCCTGAGGTATGTTTTAATTAAATTTCATACATAAATTTTCATTAACGCGTTTGCTCACTTGGAAACACGTACAACACAAACCCCGCACCACATCCGTGGTGGAAACACACACAGAAAATCCTAAAAATATACATAGAACAGATAAAGATATAGATATTTGTATCCCATATACTTGTGGAAGCAATCTCAAAGTGATTTTCCCTGAGAGTCGAGACTTTTGCAAGTATATTTACATGTAGATAAATATCCAAAGTCTGAGATTTTGGGATGCCTTTTTTTAACGATTTTCAAGCAGCACAAAGAGACTTTGATTCAGCAAAAAATACATCAGATATGATTATCATCCAGTAAATTTGGTCAGCATTCCCTGAATTCCTTTCATTTTGTTCAACCATTGTTCTTAGAGCAGAGGAAAGGATGAGCAGCTGCCGTACAACGCATTAATTAAAAGTCTACAAAGGCAAATTGAAGTGCACTACAAAGTGCAGATAGGAGAAAGGCGCCGGGCATAATTTTAATCAAACATCACTCACAATAGTCCCAGCGAGAAAGGGAGATGACTCCAGACAGAGTGAGAGAGAGAAAGAGAGAGAGAGAGAGAGTCAGTGTCAGTGTCGGAGTCGCAGTCGGAGAAGCAAAGTGTAATGTCGCCTGTGTCTCAATGCATTTTTCGTATATTTTTGCAGTCATTTTTATCCCACTTTTTTTTGTCATTCTCTCCGCTCTCCTTATTCTTGGTGTTTATTTTTGTGCTTTGCGCCTTTTGTCGACATTTAAATTAATACGCTTGGCTATAATTCAAAGTAAAATTGCGGAAGTTGCCAAAGCGGAAGTGAGAAGCGGCGAGCTACCGACAAAAAAAAAAGCGAAACAGCAGGAGGAATGCCAAAGAACTGGAAAAGGAAACCCAAAATGACATAGCAGCACACACACCAGAAAAAGAGTGAAGAGACTGAAAAAAAAGGATATACGAATGAGAGAGAAAGAGAGCGAGAGCTATGGCTACAAAGGAATGGCAAATAATGACTTGCGACCGCAAATGTCAATGCTTAAAATTATACAGCTCCCGTTTCACTTCACATTGTTTCGCTTCATTTTGGTCCTACCCTTCCACAGGGTATTACTGACTGTTGCGAGATTTTTGAGCCGCTTCTTGATCTGCCATTGTGCACCTCTACTTTGTTATGATCCAATCAAAACGAGTCTTAAATCAATCTGGCATAAGCTTCACTTTATTTTACTTTCTACAACGGATATTTGATGATTGAAAATGATCGAAATCAGACTATGTTCTATATGCTGTAGCCACACTGTATGGCTCTGTGAGCTGATGAGCTGATCAGAACCGGATCATCATATCATATTGTTTCCCCAGAATAAAATGTATCCGCTAGTGTATGCAGCGCTGTAGGCCTCATGGCCACACTTCCCTCTCCCCTCCCATTTGCGCCTCGTTTTTGCTGGCCGTGACTGCCGTCGTGACTGCGGAGTGACTGGGAAGCGGCACGCCCATTCCCCGAATTTCGACAGCGCATTAAGTTTTTATGCTATTTAATTTTTAACATTTTCGTTTTTTGTGTGCTGCTGCTGCTCGCTGCACGGTGCCCCTCGTTTTGTGGCCGCAAAGAGTTGACTGCTTTCCAGGGAAAAGAAGAGCGAAACTATTTATTTGCCAGCCCAGCCAGAGCTGCAGCTACATTTGTAGCTTTATATTTGTTCTGTCCGACACATTTCATTAAAACCCGTCTGCGCCACGTGGCCCGCCTCCTGCTTTGCATGGTGCATGCCACTGACGGCGGCCGAAAGGGCGGGGCGTGGCAGTTAGTAGTCTTTCAGAATGGCATTTCCGCATGCAATTTTTACATTTGCCGTCCGCTCAGCTCCCAGCAGTTCGTCATTTTTGTGAATTTATTTCATTGAGTTTTTCTGGTTTTTCCTGCTTTTTTTTTGTGGTTGTTTTATTTTGTAACCCCCGTGGCTAAGTGTATACAATTTAACGCTTCCTTGTCGTTATTTCTGGGCTGGTAACGGGGCTCCCCCTTTTAACGAGCCTTCCCACACACCCACCCACCAGCGAACGTTGGCTGGAAAAAGCTCTCCACAATCCACGTGCCGCTCGCTGCATGCCTATAAAAAATGCTCGAGAGTGGCCAGACGGGGAACGAGTTCGTTTTTTAGATTTAGAAGCAGATTTTGTTCGTTACCCCCGCCGAAATGTTAATTAAAGAATTCAGTGGCATGTTAACCCTCCAGGGCAAAGGTCATTTTAATTAGCGTGTCAAGGGGTCGAAAGTTGGCAAAGTTTTTGCAGCACTGTTTTAGATTTGAATGAATAATCAGAAGTTGTGTGTGGACTAGAGTGGATCATCCGCCATCATTAGGATTGCCCTAATGAATCCGACAGGAATGTTGAAATGTATATTGTTTGAGGAAATGCATGCAGATATCATTGTCCAGCCGCAGCGAGCATTTTTAATTATGTCTTGTCAACGCGGAATGGTGGCTGCCGGCTCTCGATTGTTGGCAAAAACCACAAACTAGGCAACGCTGCGGCAGCGTGTATTAATTATTTAGCAACCATTGAAAGGCACTCGGCCGGGCGGTCACCGTCGAACACTCGAACGCCCCACAGATTGTTGAACACATGCCACACCATACCGCAGCATGCCACACATGGCGATGCCTTTGGATAGGGCACTTATGTGCATATTTGCATATTAATTACGCAGTGCACCGCAAGCCCAAGTCTGGCTGTGGGATATATATTCATAAACCATTGATATTGTCGATTTGTTGCATAATGAATATCATAAACAAGCAGCGTTCTCCCTCCATCTATCTACCGCGCTAAAACCACATACTCTAGTGATGAGAATGTGTATGGTAAACCCCTATAAAACACCCAATCTCTGCTCATGCGACAGCAACAAAGTCATTAGAGCAATTGTCATTAACATGAGCGACGGCAATGAGACAACATCATTATCAACGTCATCGGGTGGGCCTGCATGGGGGGGGCAGGGCTGTGCTATGTGTCTGTGCGGAGTAGGGGCAGTGCCGCATTGTCAACGACGTTGTACCCGTCATCGATGTCGAACGCATTAAACATGCAGCAGCAACTGACAGAGCCATCAACATCAGCATCAGCGGCTAACAGCATTAATGGGGGGTCTGTCCGCCCAGCCAGCCCCTCCTCGAACCCTTTACTCCCTCCTCCAACTCCAAAAACAACCCCCACCAGGGGACAGCTACTGCACTTCATGCACTTTCATCATCACTCGCTCTCTACAGCCGCTGTATCGTACCGGGAGTGTGCTAGGGCTCTAGCTCTCCATAGCTATGCCGCTGCAATGGTTTTTAATTATTTTGCAAATTAATTTCCAAATTGGTAATTTTCTTCACATTTGCACACACGCCCCCAAACAGCAGCAGCAGCAACAGCTGCAGCGGCTGCTGTAATGAGTTTTTGTGCGGCGCGACGGGACGGAATGAGTAGTGAAAATTAGCCTATTAGCCTCGTCGCAAAGTAGATGTTTAGAGGAGAAAGCCGTATAACAACCTAATTAGAAGATACGCTAGCCTGGAAATTGCACTGCAAAACAGTTGCAAAATATAATGTTCGGATGATGATGATGATGATGCAAATAGAGGAGCATGTACTGGAGCAATTTTGTAATTTTATTCAACATAAGCTTACTTCAAGCTAGGAGAGAATTTTGATGTTACTATGCTGCGTCAAACCAAGAGCCAGAACAGAAGAAAAATCATTCCATTGTTGCTGCAAATATGAAATTAGGAAATATTTCATTGCCTCAAAAGGTCAAAATAACTTACCTAAAAGATCTGTGGCGATTATGCATCCATGTGTTGCACATCAACAAATTTTGCACTTCAATTTAACATAAACTAACAAAAATAAAACTGAAACCTAATGAAACACATCCATGAAGGGGAATGAGGCCTGCTCCGGATTCAAAAGATCAACCAGAAAGCACACAGTGCCAGCCACGCCCTCGAAAAGGCTGTGTGGACGATCGGGCATACGAGCCTGCTCCTGGTAGTCTGCATCGGTCAGCACCTCCATGAACTTGAGTGCCCTGTAGTGGTACAGCATCTCGTTGGTGAGGCGGAAGAGCAGCAGAAAGACATAGCCACCGCTGGCCACGCCATGACAAATGCCAGGACCCTTGCGCAAGACTCCCCGCACCCAGACGAGATCCGCCGCCTGACGTATGGCTGTCAAGTATGTCTCATCTTTGAATATCAAGTAGGCCTTGGCCAGCAAGTAGACTGCCCCTGGAGCGCCGTGACACCAGTGCAGCAGGCGCCGGTCAGGGTCCCTGCCCGTGCACAGGTCCTCCATGGACACTGGAAAATTTCCCAGGCTGTCCTGAAGTTTGACAAAGAGGTCAATGGAGGTCTTAATGTCGCGTATGACGTCTTCCGTGGCAGAGATCGGTGTTGTGCGGAACCAGGGACTGTCGAGCAGCATGTGGAGAATGCCGCAAATGCCATGGGAAGCTCCCAGATACTGGGTTCCATAGTGCTGATACATCAGCGGCGACTGGCTCTTGCGGATCTTGCTGTACTCACGGCCACTTTTCACAATCATCTGGCAAATGGCGATGACGGTTTCGTCGGGGATCTCCTTCCGTCCGAGAACCTCGTTGAGCCAGTAGCAGCCAGCCAGATAGCCGGCACGTCCCTGCATGAAGTCGTCGCAGCCAGTTTTTGTGTGCATTTTCTCCATGCTGGACGGAATGCCCGTCTTGAAGATATCCAAATCCTTGGTCAAGGCTATGGTGTTCCCGAGTGCTGCCGAGATGGCGGCGGAGATGGCGTATATCCCAGCATTGCCACAGATGAAGGAGAAGCGTTCAGCGGAGCGCTTCAAATGTGGCCTGCACTTCTGCTTGGCGTTGCCCATCAAGGCGAGGGCGTAGTCCAGTGCTTTAGGGAACATAGAGTGCGTCTGCTCCGATGTGTGTAGCTTCCAGAACATGAAGCTTATGCCAGCATCTCCCACATACAAATCACCGCGCTCATCCACCTCCGAGTCATTCTCCTCCAGAATGGTCTGCACGTACAACCGAATCAAACTTTCGATTTGTTTGTCATCGGCCGCAGTTTGTCCCTCGCCCGGGACGAAATCCGGAAAGGGATTTGGAAGACTGCGATTATGACCTAGCATTTTAGTTTGGTATTTTTCGGAATTCAGAGACGCGATATTACGTAACGTTGCAGGGTTTCAAGTGTGAGCTTGTGAGTGCTCTGCCTGGAAATGATCAGGCTTGAAATGCTGAAATCAAAGGCCTACTCGATAGATATGGACTACAAAGATGGGTTGAGTGATTTCTATTCGCACTCTTAACTAGGGTCTGATGTGTGATTAATTCTTCATTATCTAATTTCTATTAGCTTTTCCCTGGTTGATGCTTGGCAGTAGCAGGTGCCTGAGGGCCCAGGCCAAGTCCGATCCAATTGCTGTTGGCAACAACTTAAGTCAAACTGTGGCCATTAGTGGCGACACCAGGAGGAGCAACAGCTCCAGATACTTCCACACCCACTGAACCCGCAGCGACACGCAACTGAAGTCCTGAAGTCCTGACTCCTGGGTCCGTTCGTGTGTGTGCGTGCTGGCGTGCCAATGCGGCGTATGCGTAATTCCCACATGCCTCTTGCAATTATTTGTTTCTCTCTTTTTCTCTGTTCGGGCAGCTCTTTGGCGCTTTTCCACACGCAGCTGAGCGACACACAGACACACACACAGCCAGAGAGCCAGAGAGCCAGCACACCCATCTAACAACACTTTTCCGCTAGCAATTTCCGGCAGCCGAGACTTCGTGCTCCATGGCAGAGGAAGGTATTGCATAATAGATTGCCAGGCAGAAATAGGGGCAATGGAAAATGGAGAAGCACGCAAATTCTTTTCTTCCCTTTTTGGCTGATTAGTGTTGATTGGTATTTCTCGCTTTGCTGCTCATCAATGCTAATTTTTTGTTCTCTCCATTGCTGCTTTTCTCTGAAGTAGGAAAGCAGCAGCAGCTACCGAGTTGGGCAAAGTTTCTTCTACTGTTTCTCTTGCTTTCGCTTCCTTTCGCCTGTTCACGTGGGCGTGCAACAGAAGCATTTGAAAATGAAGCACAAGTGCAAAAGATTGATTGGCGCAACATTTGCGTGGATCTATTAATGAAGTGCACACAGAATCAATTCAGGCAATCAATTGCCGAATTCCTGGCAATCAAAGTGCTGCCTAATTAATTCGGTTAGCAATCTTCTGGAAACGGTCGAAAATATTAAATAAAATAATAATTTCTGCTCATTTTTCTGCCACGTCAACACTTACGCCTCGTTACGCACGGTTGAAGGAATGAATGCCATGGCGCCATCATGTTGATGGGGATTCAGATGTGGACTCGGACTCGCCTGAAGATGATCATTGAGATGATGATGATAATAATAATAATGGCTGTGGCAATGTTGGACACAGGTCCCGGACTAGAGCTTACACAAAGGGAGAAAAGCGGAAAATCAACAGCAACGAACAGCAATGAAGGCATGAAAAACGCAAACATCAACAATTTGGACAAATAATCTGAGAAGGAAGGGACAAAAAAAAACACAACAACATTTATGGCATGACGGCATAACAGCAACAACTGCACACGTACGAGGGAATGCTCATAGCGGAGGGGAGGAGCGGTGGATATGTGTCTCTTTGTATCTATGTGGTTGCGTGTTTGTGTTTGTGTGAGCGGAAAATATGACAACACATATGCAGCCACTGACAGCCATTTTAATGGAATATGATGCTGCAAGCCATCGGCAATGTTAACTAATCTAAAAGAAGAGGTTTGCCCCATGCCGACAACAGCCAGCAGCCAGCAGACATATCTGTCTAGACCACACAACTATCTGTGTCTCTTTGCCGTTCTCGTTCTCATAATTTTTTCATCTATTTGTTTTAATATTTTCTCTTCTTTTGTGGGGAATTGGAGACTGGTTTTTGGTATGTGTGTCATGCCATCGAGCACCTGCTGCTTCCTTGCCACCACCAACACTGTTAATTCGTGCGTTCTGTCCTTGCTTATCTGCCGAATGCCTGCCTGCCTTCCTGCCTCCTGCCTCCCTTTGGTATCCCGCCTCCGGTATCCTGTCTGGGACCTGTCAAAGCGGCGACAGCTCGACGGGCTGCAGTGTTCGCAAAAATGCTCCCAGCGCCTTGCGCGCTCAATTCATTTACAAAACACGCACGGTCGTCCCTCCGTCTGTCAGCGGGCCATAGTTGGGACTCGGATCCAGATCCGGGCCACGCAGCGACGTGTGCCCCAGCTTCGGTTTGAGCTTCTGGTTCAGGATATGTGTTTGCACAGGATTCGGGCACACTTGACACACAAAACATGTGCCCCGGAGTTGGCCGGAAAATATTGTGTAGGAGAATGTAACAAACAAATAGAGACAAACGATGCGCAACCAAAAATGGGATTCCATTCCATTCGTGGAAGGGAACTTCCTTTCAGTTATGACCACCGCCAAAAAACCCCAGCAGTCATTAGGCGCTTTCTGTTGAAAATCTGTTGAAAAATCGGAACTGTGAAAGAAAATCAATACTCATCGCCTTGCACGTCGATCTGGTTTTCAATTTCAACAGGAATTACGCTTAATTGACGCTCAAGTGACAGCAGCACGAAGTGGAGGTGGAAGTGGAAGTACTCGCCACAAATCGTCTTAACTTTCACCTCAGCTCACGACCCCCCAACCCGCATGACATCCCTCAACCCACAGACATGCCCCAAGAACCAACCTCAACCGCTTAAGCAGCAGAAAGGTACAAAGACACGCACACAATGTCGGTTCTTAGAGCTACTTATACTTAGATACACTCTCTCTCTCTCTCTCTCTGCTCATTTACTCATTCACTGACTCAAGACACACTCGCACACCCCGAAGTTGTTAGCTGCTCGCTGCGATTGACCAAAGTTTTCAATTATTTACAGGTAATTTGGTTCAAAGACACCATGCAACTGGATACCACGGAGCGGCACATCATGGAGACGCGCGGTTCGCGGCACACGTTGATTATACGCAAAGTGCATCCGCAGGACTTTGGCAACTACTCCTGTGTGGCCGAGAACCAGCTTGGAAAGGCACGCAAGACCCTGCAGTTGAGCGGAAAACCGAATGTAGCCGTTTTTAATTCACCGCCAATCAGTCAGTACAAGGACAGGTAAGAATCGAATCCATCTATATCCTTCGGTTTTTCCGTTGCGCGCGGGACACGTGCCATGTTCGGTGAAGTTTTGCTGGCTAATTGGAAGTGAGGGGCATTCCATGGGTTTACGTAATTGAGAATTAAATGCAAAATCAGAAACAAATTTCAGGATTTTGTGGGTTGATTGGCCATTAGACATTTCACACAGACACGGACACAGACACTGAGACAGAGAGATGATGCACACGCCGCACATCAAGTGACTTTATTAGATTAATTTCGACGAGTGACAGAGAGACGCCGCCCAATGGCTGGGCAGCCGGTGCGTATACGTAACGAATAAAACTTTTAATTGGATTAGCTGTCATCAAACACACGCAGACACACTCACACACACACAGCCATAAGCGAGGCGACACAGATAGAAAAGGGCAAACCCACAAGAGGGAGAGGGAGAGTCAGTGAGGCAAGCGACAAACAAGCTCACATCTCATGTCACACTCGAACAAACTGGGAGACAGCCAGTCAGTCGGTCCGTCTGCCCCGTCCATCCAGTCTGTCAGTCATTCATTCAGTCAGTTAGATAGCTTTACACTCTCTCTCTCTCTCTCTCTCTCTCGGAAAATGGGAAACGAGTGCCATTGGCACCTTTCAATAATTCAACTTGAATTAAGCCCCTTAACCGGGAGTACATTTTGAAGCGAAACCATAGCTAGAAAATGGGCGAAAAGTGGAGGAAACTCCAAGCAAACAGTGCGCAGAAAAAGTACGCGTACGACCATTATAATTCGGGGGTTAGCACCGAACTAAAACTAAAACTAACCAACCAAGCGATAGCCATGTCAACTTTTGCGCTGATTTCATTTCGTTTCATTTGGTTTTGATACGCTGACGGAAACTGCTGCCGGCAATTAAGCTACCAAAAGCTACCAAACTCCACCCAAAAAATAACCGAAAACCCAAAACCGATTCTGGCAGCTCCATAGACTGGCGCCAGTCTATGCCCTGCCGTTTGCCGGGCTCTTCAATTGTTAATAATCATTTTTATTGCTTACTTTAGTTTTATGCTATATGCGAAAAAGTTTCTCTGATTGGCGTTTTATGTTTTTATTGTGCGCCAGGACTTGAAGTTATTAGTTCTCATGGCCCAATAATCAGGCAGAGAAAACATCAACAGAAAACAGAAAACATTGAGAGCAAAACAGGAAGAGCAGAGGCAGAGGCAGAGGCAGGGCCTTCCCTGTTGGGACATAGGCCTCTTTATGGCCCGAAATTGGGGCAGGACTCCTCCCCTGTAGTGTGCCCAATGCTGATTAGCATTCAAATTGTGTGCCGAGTTTATCGCAAAGCAATGAAGTTGCGCCTTTGTAATAGAGGATTGCGACAGCAGGGCTCCTCGCAAATGGTGCTCTGAACCTGATTCTGATTCTGAATTCTGTATTCTGTGATTCTGGCATCCCATGAGCTACGTCTTGTAATTAGTTGTTTACTTGAAAGCCAACAGTTGCTGTGGAGTGTGTGCCTGAGCCCGTGCCTTTGCCTTTGCCAGCGCCTGTGCCTGTGCCTGCCTATAAATAAGTTTGTCCATCAGCTTTGATGACTAATGAGCTTAAGTAGTGCCGGTCCGTGCGGACTCCTCGGACCCTGTTCGGCATTAAAGCCATCGCTTCAAGGGGGGCTATCGAACTTTAAGCAGGGGCCAATGGCCAAAAATGCAGTCCGACTGGCACAATGCACTGCAGGAGAATGGCAGCAGCTTGGGGTGTGGGAGTGGGAGTGGGTGGGTGGCCATATAACTTCATTTACACTTGAGCTGAGAATGTGGCAGGACTCTCTGTTGGCTTTTCGGTTGAATGGACGCATTGTGCGACCAGCAGGAAGGGGCCCAGACAATCGTTAAAGAGGTGGTGGCCTGGGTGGGTCGGTAGGGCAAACAAGCAGCCAATAACAAAGGGGAGTCACCCGGCATTATGTTAAGACTGCAGCAGCAGCAGCAGCAGAAACAACAATGCGGGTATGGGGATCGGTATACGTGGCTCATACACGCAGTATCTTCACCCCGGCATTGTGCTCATCCTCATCCTTCGTCTTCGTCTTCGACCGCTCCATTGATTATGTTGTTGTGGGTCCTGCTGCTGCTGGATGCCTCGCTGACTTGGCTGGCTCCTTGCTGGCGTGCCTGCGTTGACTTTGGCTTCAACAGCTGAAGCTCCCAGCTTTGAGCTTGCAACTTTATCGAAAATTTAACAATTACATATTGATTGCAGCCGCCTTAAAATAAATCCCAACCCCGCTGCAACTGTTGCACGCGATAACTTACCCACTTATCCCTCTCTTTTGGCAGATACAACATCTCCTGGGCAGTGGACTCGCATTCACCCATCGAGGAGTACAAGTTGTCCTTCCGCAAGCTGCCACAAGGACATGAGGTCGTTGGCAATGCCATTGACTCGCAATCCTCTTCGTCGTCGTTGTCGTCATCGCAGTCCTCGTCCTCCTCCTCGTCGCAGATGTACGGCTCCGGTCTCCACTCGCATCACATTGGCAGCAACATCGGATTAGGAGGAGGCAGCCTCTCTGGCGGAGTCGGCATGGGCAGCTATGGCGGCTACGGCAATCTGATGCACTGGGGACGCAACGACTGGCGCAATGTGGTCCTGCCAGCCATGCCCCTCTCGCATCACTACTCGCAGGGCATGAGCTACATGGTACGCGGCCTGGATCCCGATCAGCACTACGAGGCCACCGTGCAGTCCAGGTGAGCGGAGATGGAGATGGAGATGGAGCTGCAGCTGCAGCTGCTGTTATTTTTGATAGCCGCAGTGTGGACTGTGCATGCTCTTGTGCATGCATTCTGTTGGGCTCATTAGCAAGCATTTGCATATTAATAACTGCTAATTTTCCTGAGCTGCATAATTAATACGGTGAAATGGTCTTCAATTGCAGGAATCGTTACGGCTGGAGCGATTTGACCAACAGTTTTGTCTTCTCCACATCATCGAATGGTGAGTGTCAGTAATGCGAATAGCTTTAGCACCCGTTAAACATTCTATCTAAAGTGCCAGCAATGCACTTTAAGCCTCAAGGCTTATGTCCGGCAACCTAAATACGTATGAAAACCCTCAAATGTAGTGTTAGGGTATTCCTGCCTCGGCTAGCCGATGTTCAATCGATTGAAATCCTTTTGGCTTTGTATTTGCTTTCTGTTGCTGGTTGCATGCATAATAATTTGGTATTATGCGTTGCTTTTCGCCGATAATCCACAACAATCACAATGGAGCGGCATTGGCAGGCCAAACAGAAAGGGAGCAACACAGCCAGAGCCCAGAGTCTGTGGAAACTGTCGCAATTTAATGTATTTAAAATGTATTACCGAAGCGTAAGGGAGCGCGCGACAAGTGAGGCGAGAAGTGGATGCATTTACCGCGCTTTCATTTCGTTTTATTTCGTTTCATTTCGGTGAAAATTCAGCAATAATTTTCGCACTAAGGCGCACTTGCACATCCCTTAATGCACATAGATACACACATGCACATCTGCCTGTCACAGTTATCTTACATTTTCCATGCGAACATCAAGTATACGCACCACTGGCAGTTATTTTGGCTGCCAGTTGACAAACTTTCGCATGGACAAATTCTGCATACATCCTCTGCGGCGCCTGCAGTCACTGCAGCTCCCCCGAGCTCGAGTGTTTGTGTGGGCATAGTGGACCCACTAATTGATGGGTGGTTCGTGCGTGCAGTCTTGACTTTGCATAATGAGGGTGAGAAATCAAATAGGGCACAAGGCTTCGCTAATTGGATGTGTTGCCAAATGGGGGTTGGGAGTAAAAGAAAAAGGAAAAGGAAAAGAGCAAAGTCCGCAGGACAGGAAAGTCGCAAACAAAGATGCAGTGCATCGACCAAGACGTCTCCCCTGTTTGCAAGACCTCGCCACCAGGTGGGTAGATTTAAATGCGCAAACGAAAACCATTTATATGCAAAACTATTGTTGCACTGCATACAAAATGACTACGGCAATGCCACACAGCGATAGACATGAAAAGAAGTGAACGAGAGTGCAAGAGCGAGAGCGAGAGAGAGTGAGCGGAATGGCAACATAAAATGTGGCGCGCGCGGTTAAGCGATTTTCCATGCAAATGACGCACATTTGCCCGGCGCCAGGCGCCACGCCAGTGGAGGTGGAGATGCAGGAGGAGCCTCCAAACCGTTGCCATCTTTTGGCTGCCATGCGAAATGCATACAAATGCAAATAGTTCACAGTTCAATGCCGCCGTTGCTGTTGCGTTGCCTGGCAAACAAACGCATAAATATGCAGGCAGCAGGAGCGCTGAAGAGCAGCAGCACCAACAGTACAAACAATACAACAAAAACCAAAAGAAATATGCAATAAACACGCACATGCCGCAGCCATGAGATACTCGCAGAAGACGAGTGCAGGCGCAGGCAGCAGGCAGCATGTTGCAGGGACAAAGCGATGCAGCGAAAATTTAATAAACCAAAACGTGAATGCCGCACACATAAAGGCATCGCGATGGGGAACAATACATTCGCTTTTCCGCCTGCTGAGACGGAAGATATCGATGTCGCTGGCTGCAAGACGTGTTGCTTTTGACAGGTTGCACAGACACACACTCTATGGCAGCATACTTCATTAGACGCCATTGAAATGGGATATAAAGCCTGCCTGCCGTTGCCCCCCTGCCCACTGCCTCCTGCAATCAACTTGCACTCCCTGCCATGGGATGCCATGCCCCAGAAACAACTTCGTTTTGTGGCAATCCGATGGCTGTGCTTTGTGCTAATGAAAATGACTTCATTATATTTTCGAAACGTAAACAATTTACGCAATTAGTGGCCGAGCATGCAGTGCAATAATACGACGGGTACACCAGAGCACCCAAGCAGCAGAACAGCAGAGGACAAGAACAACAGCAGGATACTCCCGCAGAGGAGGAGCAGCCGCAGCAACAGCAACAACATCATGGTGTGCAATCGAGCAAAGCGGCAACTAATGAGCGCAGAGTGTCATAACTACAGAAACAATGCCAGGTACACACACACATACAGGTACAATAACTGAGGCACTAACCATAACAGTAAAGGACAGTGCCAGAGCCAAAGAGTCTTATGGACCCAGACCCAGAGCCAGACAGTTACAGAAATATTACCAGTTCATTTACCTGTTTGCTACGTGTGCGGCAAGCAGAGCAGAGCAGTGTACCGGGGTCAGACTCCAGCCACTAAAAGAAAACGCCAAATGGAGTGTGCTGTCACCCAACCTCCATTCAACGGTTCGCATATGCACTTCAAAGACCACTTCCTCCACGCATTTATGGGGCTGGTTTGGCAGCCACCTGAACGAAGGTAACTGCTGAGGTGCCAATGGCATTTGGGATAACAATAATACCCTGGCATTATGCTGGGTCGATTGTTTTCCAAGATGCAGCTCAACAAGTAAATGTAGAGAGAGAGAGCTATAAGGGGAGCAAAGTTTTGCACCGGAAAGTCTCTGCCACTTCATTAGTTTTTACAACTTTCCTATTAAGATGGTTCATTTTTCAATTGACAATCAATGTTGTGTATAATTTATGCTTATTGTGGTGCAAGAAAAGTTGTATAAAGCGAAAGGAATACCCTGATGGCAGCTGCAATCTTTCTGTCTGGTTTTAGATATCCTTTATACGTTTTATACGGGAAAAATAAGTCATAATATTTGCCTTTCCCATTCTACTTTCAATCAATAAGTACAATCAACATTAATAATATTGAAAGCTACTTATTAGAGGGACAAGTTTGAATAGCTCATAATATGCGACAATTCATTGGTCAGTTTAGCGGTATAATATCCTCTCTAATGGCATAATATCCTGGCTTTTGGGTCAGCTGAAGGACCTCCAAAGGGCATATCTACTTCGGGTTGCCATTGGGTGGGCCAGCCACATTCCGTCCGCCCTTCAAGTGCATTTAATTTTAACGAGTCCTCTGTGGCGCTCCGTCCGTTACTCGTTGTTTGCACCCGTAATGTTCTCAACGAGTGCCATTGTACGGCTGTGCCCTTTGTTTTTCCTGCTGTCCTGTTGTCCATTGTTGCTGCCATTTCGGTGCGTGGCGGACACTTGGATGGGGGCACACAGCAAAAGAGGCAGCGAAATAGACTCGACTAAGGTATGCAACTATTTACATCATCTATAGCGCTGGGTAATAGTAACGACAGAAGAGCACGAGGGTCTGGAGAGTAGTGGGGAGGGAGGGAGGTAACTTGACAGCAGGACATGGACAGGCAGAGGGTCGGTCAGAGGGCATACACACTCTTATAGCCCGGCACATAGAGACATAAAAAATAATGCATTTTGTGCACGCGAAAAAATACTCGACATAAAGCAAAAAAGAAGTTAAATAAAATTACAACATAAAGTAAGGCAACGAGTCTGTCAGTGTGTGTGTGCCTCAAGTGCGCTCGTGTGTGTTTGTGTGTATTTGTGCTCTGTTTGGTTGTGTTTATATGTGTGTGTGTGTGAATGGCGGACGTTTGGCTACAAGAAATATCAGAAAATGAAAGACTCGTTGAAACTTGCGTAAAACTTGCTGAAACTGCCAACTGAGGAGCGCCGCAGCAGCAGCAGCAGCAGGAACGGAGAAGCAACAGCAGCGGGAATAGCAATAACAGCAACAGCAATGGTGGCAGCAACATGGGGCAGCAGCAGCAACAACAACGCCAAGCATTCAAACGATGACAAAGTGGACCCTTACTGCATGCCCCTTAGAATGCGTTGCCGCTGCTGGCACTGAACGTCTGCTCAAAAACTTTCAATTTACTCGTCCTAGTCCGACGGCCAACGTATCTTCTTGCAGCACCACCATTCTCATTCTCATTCCCCCAACCCCCTGTCCCCCTGTCCCCCTGTGCGTTTGAAGCTTTTGTGCTGCCGCCGGGAATACTTTAGCCGAGGCCCCCAAACAACTGCAGCGTCGTCATCGTCGTCATAGCCATCGTTTTTTGCTTTCTTTTACCCCCCCCCCCCTACTTGCATGTAAGTTGCAAAAGTTTTTCAAGGCATATATACCATACTCGTACTCATACTCGTAGTCGTACCCGTAGTAGTTGTTGCAAAAAAAACGAAAACAAAGGAGGAGCTGACTGGAAAAAAAAGAAATGAGAGGCAAGGAAGACCCGCCTGGCAGAAGTTTGTAGTGGCAGCATAATAAGCACAGGCAAAAATAGCACCACGCTCTCGCCTCGCAGATGTGTAATGCGAATTCTCAACGTGAATGTTATGTTTATGTAAAGTGCAGGTCCCACAATGCCATGCCCATGCCCGTGCCCCAACACGAGAGTGAGAAGCGGGAAAGTGGGAACCAGGAGGGCGACACTGTTGCTGAAGTTTCAACTTGCCACAAGTGCCTAGTGCCCCTATACTATACATACATATATGTATGTATTCGTGAGAAGGAAGGGAAAGGCTTGTGGCAACTGCATTACAATGCAGAAGGAACCAGAGTATTTGCTGGCCAGTGCTGCTAAGCTTTAAGCGGGGCTTTAAGGGTCGCCGGGGCCCACGACCCCAATGACAAATCCGCTTTCAGCCAAAACAAAAAAAATCTAAGCCATAAAGAGGGGTGATGGGGGAACAGGGGGGCGCATGTGGTCCACTTTGCAACAAACGAGGGATGTGTGCGTGCGGAGCATTGTTGAAATGTTGCTGCCGCTGCCGAAAACTTGAAAATCCGCGGTGAGCCTGCGCCAACGTGTGTGTCCTGTCCTGCAGCAGTGGCAACTTTTGCTGAATGTGTAATAAACTGGCTGCTGTGCGCGCAGCACAGCCCCAGAGCCAAGTTTCGGATGCAAACTGTCCGCAAAAGCATCGGAAATGCTGCGCGAAAAATCGGATTTGCCTGCTGTACTTACAAACACCAGCAAAGCGTTGCAAAGGGCAGCAGGATTTGCCACCACTGCTGCTGCTGCTGCTGCTGCTGCTGCTGCTAGAAGCATCAGCTCAACAAATCCATGTCCGTGACTGTGACTGCCCCCCATCTATGTCGATTGCACTCGGCCATTTGTATTTGTTGCCGCACCGCAATGCTATTATGTGAAAAGCGCGTTTCGTCCACTGTCCAGGATTGAAGGGGGACGGACAGTCGCCGCCTTCCAGTGGGTCCAGAACCAGACAGGAGCAGCAGGAGGTGGCACCGGCCACAGGCCAGGTGCTGAGAGCTGCTCACCGCGACAGAGCAGAGGAGAACAGCCCAGCCCAGCTCAGGCCACGCAACTGCGGCGACATCGATGGCCGGGCGCTTATTTAGCTGCACAAACGAGAAATCACAAGTGACGTTACGGTTTTGTGTCACCAACCGCAAGCAATAAAAGTCGCAACGACAACCGAATCGGACCTGGACCTGGACACGGAGTCGGACCCGGACCCAGACTCATCCCAACAGGACTGCAGCGGGTGGCAACATTAGCCGGACAGCCACATGGTCACGAATGCTGGCTGCCGCTCCTCATCTTTCCATGGCTCCTCCTACACTCCGGCCCTGCCATCCAATCCACTGCTATCTCGGGTCTGTGGCCGCGTCTGTTTTCATTACAAAATTGTCGGCGTTCGGTGGTGGCACCGCAATTGACAATTTGGTTTTATTTTATGTTGACAGTTGGGGAATTTATATGGCTGGGCATTGCATTTGATCGTCGCCCGCTGGCCATTTTTCTTAGCCGCTTTACCGACTGCCCACCGACTAAATGGCCAAATGAATAGAGAAATATGAGCAGAGAGGCCGGACCGGTCCGGTCCATGCCGAGTGGACAGTGGGATTTGGAGAGCATTTGAGAATTAAAGGTGTCATGTTCCGAGGCTATGGCGACGGCACAGATACCTCGATAGATAAGCTGTCCTGGTTGCTTGCTGGTGGCCAAACATGAATGCAACATGCAACCTACATTGATACCACGTCCGGCATTCAACTCAACTCTGTCTTTCCCTCTTTCTATCTCTCCTCTTGGCAGCTGCAACATCCGATGTTGCCTGTCTATTAAAAGTGTCAGCAATCACTTGTGGGCGGATGCTGCTGGTCCACTCCACCCACCTCTTGTTAGAGGCAAAGGAGACGGCAATGCACGGCTAGCACGGCATGTGGTGGGGAGATCTGTTTGCTTTAGATAATGTCGAACCATCTGCCAGGCAGGATATAAAATATTTATAAGTTTCGCTTGCCCAGAAATGCCAGCAGCTTGATTCAGTAGCAAATGTACATGTCCCTGGTATCCTCTTGGCATTTCATTAAAATCGTACTGCGACAGGACGTTACCTTGGATATATACCACATATCTATAGACCTGCATGTATCTATATACATATTTGTGAAGGGAGCTTCATTTACGGGTATACATATATGCGGGCAGAAGAGCGGGAGGGTCCTTTGAGGCTCTGCTTCGATCGCCTGAATGGCCAAATGCTCATTTGTCATTATTGACAGATGTTGCACGCTGCCCGTTGCCATTTTAATTGGCGGCTTTAATGAAATGAGCTGCCTGGCCTGCTCTGGTCTGCACTGGTCTGGCCTGGCCTGAGCACCATAAATGACCTCGCTGCTCAGTGAGGCCAGCCGAGGCAATTCCGACCATCCTCTTTGGAGCCATTGCCATCCAATCCATCCGACACCCAAGCCGCCCAATGACTTCCCACTTGATTGGCCATCTGCATTCGCAGTCGTCTGCGCCAAAAGTAAATCCCTGTGATTGCAGATTGCACTTTAAGCGTTAATGATTTATTTGCCCGCATGGATTTTATTTAAATGCCGAAGGATGCAGGACGGATGGAAATTGTATTTTGTTTGCGGTACAATAGGCTTTTTCACCACGCTTCCCTCTTCCACCTATCCATCCGCCTTGCACACTTTCTATCCACTATCCACTACTATCGCTACTTTCAACTCTCCTAACTTTCAACGACTGCTCCACGTACTAATTGCAGATGGACCTGTCGATCTGTCCACCTTTTTGAATCACGGTCTGTCAGGTTAGTCTCTCTCTCTCTCTCACTCTCTCTCTCTCTCTCTCTGTCTGTCTCTCTATCTCTATCTCTATCTCTCTCTCTCTCTCTCTGTATCTCCAACTTGCTCCTATCTCTCTATATCTATTATACATTTATCTTTCTCTATACCGTATCATCTCTCTGTCTCTCTTTGCATGTTCGAATCTGCATGATATTTGTATTTATTTTTAAATAACTTGTACATAAAACTCAATTTTTGTGCTAAGCTGGGCATGCGAAAAAAGGCAGCAAATCCTAAAATCAAATTGGAACAAATCAAAGCAAATTGCATACACCTATTGGGATGTGTTGGCATGTCCGTCCGTCGCGTGTCCCTGTCCGTGTCCGTGTGTATTTGTCCGTGCAGTTTAGCAACTATTTTGCGTGCCATTTCCGTTGCCATTCCCAGTCCTCGATCAACAACAGGAACACGAAATATGTACAAAAAATAATACAAATCGGAACATCAAACGAGTTTAAATGCATACCCCATTGAAATTCCGCTTAGTTTATATGGGTTCCTGTATCTATATGGACTCATGTGAGAGAGGTGCTTTTTGTGCATTTCAATCTGTTCACTTGCATGCCCAACCAATTTGTTTTATGGCTGCAGCCTATCTCTCTCTCTCTCCTTCATGAATATTGAAAAGCATTCCCAGTGTGATTCAAAATAATTCCATTCTAAATAACTCTAGCGGAATGTTTAAAAGTTGATTAAAATACAAACATTTCTCTCTCTTGCATTAATTTATTTTAGATAACGAGATGCGCGATCTGAGTGTCACATTCTATGGGAGCAGTGCCATCAATAGGCAAAAACTTGGACTCCTGGCATTAAGCTCGGCCACGCTGATCCTCAGCCTTATAATGGCCTAAATTTGATTATAATTTGCTTACGATTTAAGTTACGGATCTCACCGCCAATAGCAGTAAAACGTATCGTTTGGGATTTTGTTTTTGCGAGAAGCAACAGAAGGATGCACTCTAGTCGTAAATGGTAGCCTAAGGAAAGATATATATATATATATATACATACAGAGATGTAAACGTAATTATAGACATTCCTGCTACGATTTCTCATTCTTCGATTCTCAAGATTCTCAAGCAAACAAAACCAAAACAAAAAGGAAAACCAATTTCAAATTTAAATCATGACTAACCAAAACGGAATAAGGAACCATACATTCTACGTGTAACAATCAATGTAAAAGAGCATAGAACTGTTCAAACTAGGAACCATTTTTGCATACGGCAACTAACGAATACACCCATATGAATACATCCATACTTCCACTCACTCACATTCGCATTTGCAGACCATTCGAGCACTCAGAAATCCAAGTGTAAATAGATTTTATCCTACATACTTTTAGGATTAAGCTGCACCAAAGAAATTAATATAAAATAAAATACATATGAATGTATGTGTACGTGCATATGTAATTGATCGATCGGACAGTTGTCCATATAATACATACATCCAGAGTATATATATAAATATATTTAAGCTTCAGTGTGTGCTTGTGCATCTGTCACAGGCAAATGGAAAATTGCAGCATTATGCAAATAGTTAATTTAATTAATCTATAAATTCATAAACTAATTATCGGATATGCAATAACCGCACCACACACACAACACAACACATACATTTTTTAGTTAAATTAATTTGTGAAAAAACAATGGTAAAATCATTGCAGAAATGTGAAAAAAAAAGATTCCACTAATTTGCAACATTTTGAAACAAAGCGCGTCATTCCACACACACACACAACACAAAGGACACACACTGGACACGACGCATTTTGATGGCTTAAAGCAGACAGCAGACAGCAGACAGAATTTTTCTAGCTTTTTGCAAAATTTGTATGTACGTAGGACCTAAGTAGCTTAATTGTCCGCATAAATGCAAGTAAATTAGTGAAAACAAACTCATTGATTCAATCGTGTAAATTAATCAACTGCAAGGGAAGTCAGGCCAGAAAGAGAGGAATTCCATGTGGATTGATTAATTTACAATTATCGCATAATGTACATATAGAAAATCGAAATGAAGTGGCGGCAGGAAGGAGCAGTAGAATGACGCGAAATGGAATGGCAATGAAACGGAAACGGAAGTGCTAACTAGGACACACAAATAGCTGTTAGTAACTACAAAACATTATAGTAAATATATCCGTAATTACGAGATTATACCCAAACAAAAATGTAAGTGTTTAGATCGAATACCAAACAAAAACACCGACGCAGGGTGTGGCCAAGAGGTTGTTTTATGTAAATATAGTAGTGCACCCACAGATATTTAGCATCTCACATGATAAAGTTATAGATATGTAATCGATATTGTTGCTTCAGATGGCAAATCGCGCACCGTTCGTGTTTGGTTTTTCCGGCACCCTGTATTATCGTTTTTAGCAAATCGAAAGCCAAGCAAGCAAGCTACGCAAAAATGCTCCTTAAAATGCATAACAGTCGCATGTATTGTATTGTGCATTTTAGTGTATAAGCAAATACATACATACTTGTATTACCAGTATATAGTATGCATAAACAAACATATTATTGAAATTATAGGAAGCCCAAATGCCAGGCCAGGCATACACATAATTGGATCACTTGTGTGTAATAATTTGATTTAAAACTAAAATTCAAAGTATAAGTACACACAGGCGGCTTTGTAGGATTCACACGGACTTGTGTGCGGGAACGGGAACAGAATTCCAGAGAGAGAAGGAGAGCCCGAAATTGATATAGAATTATATAAATATAAATATATGTGTAATTAATTAACGATGTCGTGCACATTCGCTAGACAAAGGCTACAGAGTAAATTAAATTAACGTCAAGTCATAATCTATGTTTATGTGTGTGTAAATGGATGTGTAATCATGCAACAAAAGATACAATAGATACAGCCACTCCCCCCCCCCCCCCCCCCCCCTCACCCCCCCTCAAACCCCAACACAAAAAAACTTAATCTAACCAGAACAAAAGATTAACAAAAATAAAAAATTAGTGATCTTATAAT